AAAAAAAAAAAAAAAAAAGAAAAAAAGAACGAACGAAAAGAAAAAGTTGTCGCGCACTGTGAACACAAAATGCAACGTCACAAGGAATTAATAATAGCTACGTGGCGAACAACGGATTCGGCATCGTTTATCGACGGATCAGCTTATCTACCGGGTGTAACGGAGATACGACTCGTTTCCTGCTAGAGCTGTTTCCCGTTAACACGATAACCTTAATCGTCGTCCAATGTTAAATTTCTGCCACACGGCCCTTCTTCGCTCGGCTCGGAAAGAGTCGCGGATTCAGTTCCGTGAATTTTGTCCGCGTTGTATTTATTTGAACGCCTCTCTCTCTCTCTCTCTCTCTCTAACGAGCTTACGTAACTTGTGGACTAGAAATGGTAGAGTTACGATGTTTGGCAATTGAACGTAGGTCCAGGCTACTCGCGTCAGTCTCAATAAAAGCTTTTAAATTGATGCGCGTATATATCAAAAAATTTCGCTTCTTTCCTCTCGTCACACAATAACGTTTCGCGTTATTCCACGGTCTATCGTTTCCTTCAATTTTCGTCTTTCTATCCTTGTAACCAGCGCCCTCTTCCCATGCCACTCCTGCCCTCTTCAGGCAGTTCAAATCGTTCGTTAATTTTTCTAATACAATCAAGAAGCTATATATATATATATATATTTATATATATTAATATATGTATCAATGTTGATCAAATAATGTAAACAATTATTTGAATAAATAGCAGAGTATATGCAGAGTTTATTCTTATTTTACTGCGTATTTTCATTTTGAAACGATGAGTTTATTATTTAATTGTGCAAAAAAAGACATCGAATCAAATCGATTCAAGTAGTTAATCCATCCGTCGAGATGTTATGCATAATTCATCTAACGAGATTATAGTAATAATAAATTATTCGATAATTCGACGAATGATTTCGCACTTCGAACTTGAGAGAAACGATTAGATAAAAGAAAAAAAATTATGAAAATTACAGAAATTCAATTCAACGGGAAAATTTCAAAATTTCAAAAATACCTCGATTATATATCGTTCGCGTTTCTCCTTCAAAAAAATTTTTAACCGCTAAATTTCGCTAGAATTATTATTAATCATTCGGGTTATCGGTCGATTAATTTTTAAAAAAAAAAAAAAAAAAAAAAAAAGGAGAGGAAAAAAAAAGCAATTCACGACAATCTCGTCGATAAACTGGTTTTCCACCGGTTTTATAATATTCCATCGCACGCGTTGATGTTGTACAAATCAATGACTAAGCGTACATCTTGATCTTTCAATTTGCGTTGGATGGAGCGTCGATTGACCACGAGCAATTTCGTAAAAAGCAAAATAAAGTACTTTTTCACTCTCTCTCTCTCTCTCTCTCTCTCTCTCTCTCTCTCTCTCTCTCTCTCTCTCTCTCTCTCTCTCTCTCTCGTTAGAGATAAAATAAAAGGGAAAGAGAAAAAAAGAGAGAGAGAGAAAGAGAGAGATTGTAATATCTGTTTTTTTTATATCCAATATATCTAGAACTGGAATTAAAATCTTAAAATCTTGGCGGTTTTACGCGTTAATCGTGCAACATTCTAATCAGGCTTATCGAAATATCAGATGGCCGATATCCACGTATCCAATAATTGGCCCCCTTCTCGTTATAGATAATCCACGGATTGATACTTGCACTCGATCACGATTACGTAAATTTCGCGCTACCAGATGTTCTAGTTCTTTTTGAAAAAAAAGAAAGAAAGAAAAAAAGAAGGAAGGAAGGAAGGAAAGCGAAAGATTATCGCTTCGATCTTTTGTGTATCGCGTATCGAAAGCAACGAAGGGTAGGCAACGAAAGTATTTGAAAAATTGTTTTAAATATTGAACACTTTCAAGGATGGCAAAGTTTAACATTTTTTTTTTCTTTTTCAATTCGAAAAGTGAATCAATATTTATTCGCAATTTATTCAATTCGATCTAATTAATTTAAGGGTTTACTAATCTTCGAAAAGAATCCCTGAAAAGTGGATCAACATTTGTTCGCATTTACGATTTAAATTAGGATTCAAAACAGTTCGATTTAATTATTTTAGGATAGGAAATTCGAGGGAAAAAATAGCTGGTTTTTCGAAAAGAATTCTTGAAAAATGAATTAACATTTTACTCAAAAATTAACAATTTATTCAAAATAGTTCGATCTAATTATTTTAAGATAGGAAATTCGAAGGAAGAAATAGCTGGTCCACCAATTTTCGAAAAGAATCAACATTTATTAACAATTTATTATTTAATTTAATTTAGGATAACAAATTTAAGGGAAAAATAGCTGATTTACTAATTTTCGAAAAGAATCCCTGAAAAGTGAATCAACATTTACAATTTACTCGAAACAGTTCGATCTAATTAATTTAGAATAAGAAAATTCGAAGAAAAAAATAACTAATCCACTAATTTTTGAAAAGAATCCCTGAAAAGTGGATTTATTAAAATTTACGATATACTCAAAACAATTCGATCTAATTAACTTAAGATAGACGGAAATTCAAGGGGAAAAAAAAAAAAAAAAAAATAGCCGATTTACTAATTTTCTAGAGGAGATGAGAAATACAGAGAAATACATAAATAACACGTCTTTTTACACGTTGGTGAAACCGAAGCGAAACATAAATACGGGTAAATATTGCCGGGGACGTAAATCATATGGACGAAACATTTTAACCAGACAAACGACGTTGTAAACGTAAATATCGCAACATTGTCATAAATATTAATAAAGATATCCACCACGATCACGGGAGATAAACCCACCGTGAGTGGAGTAAAAGGTGGATAAGGAAGCGAGGAAGGGGGAGGGAGGGAGGTTGAGGAGGGGAAAAGAAGAAGGAGAAGAAGAGAAAAGAGAAAAAAAACACAGTTCGTGTATACGTGCGCGCGTGTGTACACGAACTGTTTGACGTATCGGCTTCTGCGGCCGGATAGATGGATTACAATCATTCCGGTAGCTGGGGTGGTCAAATACCGTGACCATGCGTGCCTTCTATCCTCCTGCGTACGCACCTTCCACACGTGGAAAATAATATATATATGTATATATAAGCAAGCTTTCTTTATCTTCTCACGGAATGTGTTCTCTTTATGCTATCCGGAGAAATTTGGAACACCCTTCCCTCCGCCTGTTACATACTTTCTCTTATCTTTAAGGTCTTAATCCCTCGGTGTTAAACCGGGGAAGCCGTGTCTCCATATGTGGAGAAAAAAGTATTCTATTCGTTGGTAATTAAGTTAAGTCATATATATATATATAGTATCCTATAATATCGAGTGTAAAAAGTATATTTGTTGTTGTTTAAAAGATACTATTCGCGTATGATTTTTTCTCGTTTTTTACAATATTCTCTATATATAATTTACGATTTAGAGATACGTGGTATCTAGTTATCGTGAATATAGGTAGGAAAGGTAGAAAAATATATTATGTCGAGTGTAAAATATACATTTGTTGTTAATAATTAAAAAATATATTCTCTATACACAATTTACAATTTAGATAGTTGAATATACTTTTTATATCGAGTATAAAAAATACATTTGTTATTAATAATTAAAAAATACACGATATTCTCTATACACAATTTACAATTTTTATCTAGTATTTGAATTATCGTGAATAGGTAAGGAAGAGATATAAATTTATTGTATTAGAAAAAAAGTATTATATCGAGTGAAAAAAATATATTGTTGTTAAAAATGAAAAAATATTTTATATACATTTAATTTACACGATTTAGATACCTAGTTATATCTGACTTATATTATGAATATAGGTAGGAAAGAAGGTAGAAATTTATTACGAAAGAAATTTATTTACGTTTGTTGTTAATAATTAAAAAAATGCACGATCTACGATTTAGATATTTAGTTATATCCGAGTTATCGTGAGGTAGGGAAGAGGTAGAAATTTATTTATATATACCTATGGTGGTGATATAAGTACACCCGACACGTAGGTATCGACGTCTCCCCTCGATTTTTTAAGAGCGGAAGCGGAACACGCCTGTGTTGCACCGTGTGTCACGGGGAGCGTCGCAGGGAAGGGAGGGGCCAAACCCCGCCATCCGAATCCCCCGGAACAGGAATATCTCGTCTCCTCTCGAGAAACGAGATTTCTTCTTTTGAAGAATCTATCACCCCCCCTTCCCCCTTATATAACTCCATCACTCCCCTAACTAACTTTTGACGAAAACTTTTTGATTTCGAAAAAAAAAAAGAAGAAGAAGAAGAAGAAGAAGAAGAAAAGAAAATAATTTCAAAAAAGAAGAAAAAGAAGAGAGAAAAATTTTGAGAATCGTGGAAAAAGTTATGGAAGGATATGATATTCGGGCAGGAGGGATCAATGGAGATGCGGCCTTATTGCACTGAATGCCAGAACGCGAGAGCGTGGTCGTGGGCGCACACAGGAAGAAGGCAGGGGCACATCCGTATCGTGGTCAGAACCCGTGACCCCCTGCCACGTACACGTGTAAACCCACCTATGCAACACGCACGATCCGCGGTTTTACCAAGGATTATCCTCCCCAACCCCTCCTCTCTCTCTCTCTCTCTTCCTCGTATTTGTTACGAAACTTACCCTTGTTCGAAAAAAAAAAAAAGAAGAAGAAGAAGAAACACTGCGTAGCGAGCGAAAAATAAAATATTTATCCTCCTCCGAAATTTGTATCAATTTTCACACAAAGGTGAGTAAAGATGGTCGTGCGAATTGATATAAAATTAAGGAGAGGGGAGAGTTTAAGCAGGACGATGGTGGCGAGTCGAAGTGGCCAGGAGAAGGGCGGAAATTGATAGGGTGGCCAATTGGCTGTGTAATGTTGGAAGGAGGGGGAGGGAGTAGGGGTTTACTCTTCAACCACCGTGCCGTTAACCTGTTAACCCGCGTTACAATACAATAAACCTTTTCTCGTGAAAACGATTGGCGAGAGGCGAGGAGCGAACTAGTGGAAATAATTATGATTAATAATTAATAAATACCTGTACTTGATCCGTTTTCGTGTTTGCAGCCATCCATGCCTCTACGAACGTGTCCATAGCGCTCTGAAAATCCATTCCCTCGCGGAGAGTCCCTCAATAATTATCCCTGAGTTGGGAAGTCGCCGCCATTTCTTTTCCTCGATCTCGATGATTATTATTATTATTATTATTATTATTATTATTATTATTATTATTATTATTGATCGTCACTTTGATTTATCATCATTCGAAATTGATTGATTACGAACTCCAAGTGGCGAGGATCCGAACGAAATTCTTTTCCTTCCCCTTTCACCTCGACACAAAAAGTTCTCGAATTCGCACAATCGCATATCGTTTATATTATATCCAGTAAAGTAATAGTAAATAACGTGGTCTCGAACGTCGATCTTGTATGTACACACTTTTCTCTTCGCGCTTGCTTATTTATTTTTCGTTACGTTATTATTTTATCCCGTGGCGTTTAGTCGTGGTTTTTATTCTATTCGATTCGCGGTTATATATATATCGAGCCCGTTGGTTAATAACGCTTTTATTATTATTATTATTATTATTGTTGTTGTTATTATTATTATTATTATAATTATTCTTATTATTATTATTATTATCGCGAAGCGAAGGAATGAACAACAGAGTCCCGCACAATTCGCGCACTTATTGTTGTAGTTGACTAGAGATCGAGAGAAGAGATCGTTACGCACACACGTGTTCCTCGTTTTTCGTTCCTCGTGCTGTCGTGTGCGATCTAGGAAACTCTCCTCGTCCCAATGTTTGTCCTCGCCACCAATCTCGTGTGTATATATATATATGTATATATATATGTATATATGTATGTATATATCTCTTTCTTTCGAGAATTCACTTTTGAACAAAAACCAATCGACACTTCGCGTACGACGTGTATATATATAAATTACCACTCGTAAAAATTAATCGTTAACCACTCGTCCGAAAGAAAAGTTTTCTTTCGAAATTTGTATATTTCGATATAACAATCCCACTCGAGCGAGTAATCGAAGTGATCGTGTATGTACTAAATAAAGGGAAGAAAAGGAGAAGGAGGAGGAGGAGGAGGAGGAAGGAGAAATAAAAAGAAAAGTTTCATCGTGGAAAGAAACGAAAGTTCACTTCAGTTTCGAAAAGAACCGATCTTAACCGTTCGTTCGTACGTTCGATCATATATGTGCGTTTCTTTTTCCTTTCTTCTTTTTCCCTTTTCCCCTCCCCCTTGATTCAGAAACAAAACAAAAACGTATCGCCTCCAACTATTTCTCGCGTTATCTCGATCGTTCTTACCGTTCCGTCGAGAACGAGACGGATCGTGGACATTTCGACGGGCGCACGATGGGGAGGGGGAAGGAGGAGGAGGAGCAGGAGCAGGAGCAGGAGCAGAAAAAAAGTGTATATATATATGTGTGTGTGTGTGTGTGTGCCTATGTACGTATACGTGTGTATGTGTACGGACGTATGTATCAACGACACGCGAACCGACGAGAACAACACGTTCGCATGGTACGGCGTTCGAGCCGCGACTGTGCGTGGCGAAGCGTCGCGGCGCTGGTTCTGCCCCTACGACGCCCTACCCCCCGTCGCTCTCACCCCACCACCTCGCCGGCTACCATCGCCCACCGTCGAGGACCATCCTGGTCCTCGCTCACTCGGATGGTTCACCCTCAAACCCTCCGGAACTTACCTTCGTCATCCGCGCGATTCTCTCTCTTCCCTTCCCTTCGTGTCTTCTTCCCCTCCCCCTCTTTCCGTGTCCCTTTCTTTTCCGTTTCGCTTCTCTTCCTTTCCTTTCTCTATCTCTCTCTCTCTCTCTCTCTCTAGTTCGATCCGCTGCTTTCGATTGCTGTGTCTTGTTCTTGTTCTTCTGGGATGGTTTAGTAGTAGTAGATTTTTAATAATAGTTTTAAATTAATGTGTAAATAAAATAAACGCGATTTTTGTTTGCTTTTTTTTTTGTTTTTAATTGTAATTATTAGATCGTTAAGGATTCTCTCTTATTGGATTGATGGATTTATTTATTCGTCGATTTGTTAGAATGGTTATTTTTTATTTCTATTTTTTTTTTTGTAATTTGATATAATTTAATCGTTTTTAACCGCTTTAAAAATTATACGATAGTTGTTATTACTTTCGATCATTGTAAACCGACGATCTAAATTTCGAAGGGAAAAGGGACATCTTCTTTCTTTCAAATTTTACACGATAATTATTTGCTTCTTCCATATTTGTTTCTTTCTTATGTTTCTTTATCCTTTCTAAGCAATTCCAAATTAAAAAATCAAGATGAAAAATGCTATCGTAATCGTTTCTTTCTTCCATCTTGTCCTTTCTTATCTCTCTATCCTTTCGATCGTCCCAAATCAAAAAGGGAAAGCGATCATTCGTTCCTTTCTTCCAAATTTTACATGACGTTTTTTTTTTGCTTCTTCTTTCTCCTCTCACCTTCTTATCTTCCTATTCTTTCAATCGCCCCAAATTAAAAATTAAATTTCAAGATGAATCGAACGAAGAATATCCCTTTCGAATTTTCTACGACGATCTCCCCCTCTTCCTTCTTTTCTTTCAATCCGAAACAACCGAGAGGAAGAGAATTCATCCAAATTTCCCTCAACGACAATCATACCTCCTTTTCCATCGAAANCCCCCCCCCCCTCCTCTTCCTTTTTTTCTCTCAATCCGAAACAACCAAGAGCAAGAGAATTCATCCAAATTTCCCTCAACGACAATCATACCTCCTTTTCCATCGAAATCCCAAATTTCCATTCCACTTCGTCTTGCTCACCCTTGTTCCTTTCGCCTTCCCTCCGGCTATTCCCTCCCTCCCTTTGATCCAACCCCTCCCCTCCCCACTAATTCCACTCCCACCCAAGAGTCCACCAGCCTCCCCTCCTCTTCCCTCCCCTCCCCCCTCTCCCCCCTTACCCTTCCTTCGAAACCGTGAACCACTTTCAGCCGAGCGGGGGGTGTGTCTACAGATAAGACGCACGTACACCGTTGCACCTGTGTGTACCGCAACACTGCACGCGGAGGGACGAGCCGCGGTCGCCGTGCGCCAGGGGCCAGGCGAACGGCGAACAATCCTCGAATCTTATCCTCGCCAAAATTTTTCGTTCGTTCCTTTTTCCCCTTCTTTTCTTCCAAAGGAACGAGAGAATTTCGAGGCCCTCTGTTCGTGGTCGAAGTTTAAGAATATTATTTGTAAGTTAAAAAATATTTTTTTCTGTTTCGAATTTCTATATTCGGATGACGCTTATTCGATTACGAAGGATCTTCGTAGGTATTGTGGAAAGATATTCCACAGGATGTAACGATGTTTGACCTTCGAAGAAAGAATATAATCTATAATGCTTGATATTAATAAAATTAAAATTCTCAATTCCTCGAACTCTGTTCAACGATTTATGCATTATTTATAAATAGAATTCAAGATTTACGAATATATATCACGAAATATTTTATATTTATCCTTTAAACGAGGTGTCGATAGTTCGAGGGATTCTCTTCTCGATCTCGATCGATCGTTTCGAAGGAACCAAGTTTCTTCCCTCTATTCCTCTCGAATTTCCTCCGTTCGAACGAGGAATTATTATTCCAAAAACGACGACAAAACAATAATCGATCTAATTAGGCTCGAAAAATAAACGACACGTTTATCGTTCGATTCAACTCGAACGGATCCAATTATCTCGTATTGTTAATACGCGATCGAAAATCCCCGCGAAATTTAAAATTCTCGATCATTCGAAATTTCTTTCCCGCTCGATAACAATACATCTTACAGGGAATTATTATTAACCGTTCGGATTATACGAAAAGGGTGTTGCTAATATCAATATCGAGGATGTACTACGCGTAACCGATTATTCGATTATTAATCAACTTACATCGTTCCTACAACTTCCTATCCTCTCTCCCCCTCTCTCTCTCTCTCTCTCTCTCTCTCTCTCTCTCTCTCTCTCTCTCTCTTCCCTCTATATATCTCCAAATTTGTTCAATACGTCTATAGGGATTAACGATTATGAGGTGTCGCTAGTTGTACCGAGTGTGCAACACGCGTAACCGGTTATTCGCGAAATTTTTCACCGCTCCTTCTCCCCTATACGAACGTTTGACATTCCATCGCTGCCCTCGCGTGCCGCTCGGTTGTACGGTTTCACCCGCTTACCTTACCCCAGTAGTCCGCCCGGGCCGGGCAACCGTTCCGACTCGTTGAAATCGGTTGAAACAGGATTATTATTACGTAAAAATTATTATTTAAAATTATTATTAAAATTAAAATTATTATTATTATTACGAAAATTATTATTTTCGTATTATTGTCCCTCGAATCAGAGACATAGAGTATAAATTTTTTTCGGAGATTTGATTTCGAAAGACGTTGGAAAGGGGATCGAGATAAAAAAAATTTTGGAAACAACGATTCTGATTAAATTCTCATTAAATATCTCTCGCGATTCTTGATAAATTCGGGGAGGGGGAGGAGGAGGTTGGAAGAAAAGAGAGAGAGAGAGAATTAGAATTAAACGATGCTAAACACGAAGGAAACATTGAACGTCACGTTGAATAATAAGATCGATGGAACATGGTCTAATCCTAGAGATTACCTAATGTAATACCCCTCGTCCAACCTATCGAAAGCTCGCTCGGTCGAGATTAAATTGACCGATCGAGCAGCTCTCTCTTTTCTTTTCTCGTGCATGCGTATTACACATATACGTACACGCATACACACACGCGCGCGCGCACGTCTATAAATACACGCGTGAATCGAAATAAAAACGGTGTATATCGCACACGCCAATAACCACCACCCTGGGCAATCTGGGTTAAACGACTTTCCCTGTTTCGAATGAATATATGAGAAATATGTATGCAACGAACGAAAACGTGTGCATTCAACGCGTCACTTCATAAATGGGGCAACGGTCTGCAAACGGGGCCAGGAATGGCACCGAATTTGCGATAGAGAGGGGGAGGGGGGGAAGAAACGTACGATTGAAAATAATAATCGTTATCACGATCGAATACCAGTTTGGAAACCACTGGAATCGATTGAATAACGTCAATTTTCTGTCATTCGATCCGATGTCCTCTTATTCGAATTTTCGAATTTTCGAAAATTGTTTTATTGAAAGGTGAGAAATATTCGTGGTTTTTTTTTTTTCTTTAAGAAGAGCAGAATAAGCAGAATAATACCAGTTTGGAAACCAGTGGAATCGATTAAATAATTTTCTGTCATTCGATTCGATGTCTTCTTATTCGAATTTTCGAATTTTCGAAAATTGTTTTATTGAAAGGTGAGAAATATTCGTGGATTTTTTTTTTTTTTCTTCAAGGGAAGAGCAGAATAAGCAGAATAATACCAGTTTGGAAACCACTGGAATCGATTAAATAATAATTTTTTATCATTCGATCCAATGTCTTCTTATTCGAATTTTCGAATTTTCGAAAATTGTTTTATTGAAAGGTGAGAAATATTCGTGGATGTTTTTTTTCAAGGGAAGAGCAGAATAACAGAGTTTTTCACTCGCTCACGAAACAGGATAATGGAAGATGCCGCGGAAGAGTTTATCCGTAGGTGGATCGGGTGCCGAAATTCGTCCCGACATATTCGGGAGGAGATTTCGCGCTTCCTTCTCGCGGAATCCAATTCAAGGAATTGAAGGAGCGAGGACTCGATCGAAGATCTCATGGAAGATGTTTAATTCGCTGTTTTTTTAAACGTGTAATTTATAAATGCTTTCGAATTTTTTCTTTTCAGAAATACAATTCTGGGAATTGAAAGAGCGAGGACTCGAGATTTGGCAGATCTCTCGAAAGATGTGATTAATCTTTGTCCTATTTTTAAATATTTTTAAGGAATTTAATAAATACTTTCGAATTTCTTCTTCCACGAATTTTCACGAATACAATTCCAGGAATTGAAGGAGGGAGGGCTCGATCGAAGAACTCTTGGAAGATTAATCCTTGCACTATTTTTTTTATAAAATAAATAAATAAATAATTATAAATAAAATATACTATATTTTATATTATATAACTATATATTTTTAAATAATTTATAAATATTTTTTGAATTTCTTCTTCCACGCTTTTCTTCTTTTCGTAAATAAATTTTCACTCATTCCAGGAATTGAAGGGACGAGGACTCGATCGAAGATCTCTTGGAAGATGCTTAATCCTTATGCTATTTTTAAATATATTTATATTTTATATAACTATATATTTTTAAATAATTTAAAATACTAAATACTTTCCAATTTCTTCTTCCACAAATACAATTCCAATTGAAGGATTCGAGGACTCGAGATTTATTTACTATATTTTATATTATATAACTACATATTTTTAAAAATAATTTATAAATACTTTCGAATTTCTTCTTCCATGCTTTTCACGAATCCAATTCCAGGAATTGGAAAGGATTCGAGAACTCGAGATTTCGAAGATTTCTTTAAAAATGCTTAATCCTTATGCT